AAAAGATAAAAACTTAAAAGCCAGAAAAACCCTTGAAAATATTTTGCACAAGGGTGTCTCTTATGTTTCAACCAAAGGTGTTGAAAGATGAAGTGCCTGTGTTGATACATGAAGGTACTGTGCTAGGTACTATTTGAAGAAAGTGAGTTTGTGTAGTCCTTTTATGCCCCCTTTTAATTTTAGTATTTATCAGGTACAAACTAGTGGGGAGAGTTTTTAAATAACTTGAAATCTAGCCTGATCTTGTGTCTGGCATATAGTAATGCTCAATAGTGGCTGAATTAATTCTTAGCAGCACTAAGAAGTCTCTCTAATCATAGTCCCAAAACTAAAAAATTTCCTTTAGCCACAAAACCTGCAGCTGTTTGGCAGTATTGCATGCTGCCATTTTGAGTTGAACACAGCCACAAACCCATGAATTCATGTGAATGTAGCCTGCTATCTCAATGAAAAGACTGCTTAAGTAAAAGGAAGTTTAGAGTGGAAAAGAGGAAACAACTTATGCTAAAATTCCGTAGAAAAACCTTCAAGAAATTGGATTTTTGATTTAGCCCATGACATAAACTGGCAGTTGTGAGATGTGGGCTTTCTGCCAAGGCTCATGAAGGTCAAGAATCTAGTCCACACATGTTTGTTTGCTTATTCTGTCTAGGAATTTTTTATCAAACACCTGTTCCTGCATCTAGTGCTGAGAATGGTTAAAAAACCAGTTTCTGTTACGGGATAGGGAAGAAAAGCATGTAAAAAGAAGTAAATAGTGGCGTAAGGCTTTTTTCTTTTTTCTGATAATGGGAGGAAAGGCACCTAATCCAGTCCTACTGATTTAAGAAAGGCTTCCTGGAAGATTTCACCATAAAAGAACTAGCAGGAGCTGAAGGTAAAGGTGATCTAAGCAGAAGGCGCCTTTCCTGGCACTACAGCGCAGCACAGGTATATAATGGCAGGGCACATGCGGACAAACGGTGATATTTGGGGAAAGGAGAGGCCAGGATGGGGAACCATAAATGATTTTTTTTTTCTTTTAAAATAAAGTAACACATTAGTGTAACAAGTAAACGCAAATTTGAAAAAAAATGAATCTACCTTTCTCAGAAGAAGCCTTATGCATCTGCCTATAACTTCATTTTGTACAAACCTAAAAACTGTTACGTTTATTTAAAAGTGGAAACTCCCGCTTCCCCTTACGCTGGGCCTAGCTTTTCTTAAGGCCCGTGTGGCCATCTCTCCAGAATAGAAGGAAAGGGGAGCCGCGGGGACAAAGGCCAAGGTAGGAGAAGCGCTGCCTGTTCTATTCCAACGGCCCCACGACTGCCCAGCTGTCTTTGCGCAGGGAGTGGGACATGACAGCGTTGGGCGGGCCGCGCATGCGCAAAGGTCCACAGTGAGCCCCTGCATAGGTCCCTGGTCTGGACCAGGCCCGAACAGCCCTAGAAGAACCTCTTACACTACTGTGGGCGCGTCAGTCCCCTACTGGAGCCAGCTGTCGGGCTGGAGGCATCTGACGGTGCGATTGGCTGCTTTTCGCTATATATTGACAGAGATCATGTTATTAGCCTCTCTTACCATAATGCCAGTGAGAGTTTAAACGAATGGGGGTGGGGCTGGATAATGGCAATCAATGGTGTGCTCCCCAAACTAAGCGTGTTGTGCCAGGTTTCTAGCACTTAAAATAAAACTTAAAATACATAGCACTAAATTTAACTTCATAAAGGTAATGACATTTACCTTTATCTCCCCTCAGTTTAATTTCAGGGCAACTTTTTTTTTTTTAAATAGTCTCAGGTACAATTCAGTATCTTCTTCACCACTTTTATTTTTCAACTTGTATTACTACTAATAGTGGCATTTAATGAGCCCTTCCTTACTATATAAGCAGCCTTATTTAACTCTTAGGACCACTTAATGAAGTACCATAATACACATGAAGAAACAGGTTTCCACACCTTGCTCATGGAGCTAACATTGAAAACCAGGTGTGATTTAAAAGCTCCATTTCTTTATTCTCTTTTGACTCTTGCCGCTGTCAGTTCCTCTCCAAACTTTAGGTTTGGGCAGAGGTGAGGAATTCATGGATTTTCTCTGCATATTGTTGAAACTTATCTAAACTGGCCACAGGAAGTGAGATGAGTAGAAAGAGAACTACGAGTCTGAATTTGTCTTTGCCATCATTTGATTTTCTTTTGGGCCAGAACAGTGGCTGTCACTTGGTAACTTGTTAGAAAGCATATTCTCAGGTCCTACTCCAGACCTACAGAATCAGAAACTGGCAGTGACACTCAGCAAGCGTGCACAATTTGAGCACTAGTAGTAGAGGGCAGTTTCATCTATAAAGTTGTTCCTCGATATTCGTGGGCAATTGGTTCCTGGACCCCTGGCAGATACCAGCATCTGAAGATGCTCAGGTCCCTACACATCACTTCACTCTTGTTGCAAATTCTTTTCCTTTTTGGAATTTTCTGGGATTTTTTTCTCCATATATTTTCAGTGTGTGGTTACTTGAACCTGTGAATGCAGAACCCAAGGATACAGAGCCCACTGTACATTTTGATTCTTGTAGGACAAGGTTGCTGATAACCAAATTAAATGATTAAAGGTCCAAAACTTCAGAAATCCTTTAAGGAGCATATTTGTATTGTTGTAGCTTACTAGCATTTTCATTTATTGTGCTTTTAGTCTATGCTTCATTTTCCCACATTATTTCAGAATTTATTTGAAGTATGTCTATCTAAGCTGGTAAGCTCCCTTGGTCTGAGCCTCAAACTTACTTGCACTATCAAGAGCTGCCATTATTTGATCTTCCACGTTAATTCTGAAACACTACTGTCCTTGGTGGTTAATACAGCTATGTCCCCATGTTGGTGACATTGAAACTTGTCTTTACCTAGCATCCTGATGCTTAGGCTACACCTACTCAATAACACCGAAATCCAGAGGGTGGGACATTTTTTTTATAGACTTCTCAGGTAACTCTAATTGTAGCCAAGGTTGAGAACTAGTACCACATGCAGGAGACCTCACAGTAATCTCACATACAGTAAGGTTGACCACCATGTTCCACAGCACCCTCATGGGACATAACTGGCTTCTATTTCTATTCCCTGCAAATGTAAAATGTGTAGGAGGAACCAGCACAGAGACTCAGTGCTGAAGCTTGCGTGGATGCATTTGTATTTGTGACCTTAGTCAACTAGGAGGCATTTTGTTTTTACAGATTTCTAATACAAGCTTATCAGTTTCTGCCTCTCTAGGTTATCTATTTTCTTTTATTAAAGGTTTTTAAATTGTGGAAACATAAAATCATCCATTTTCAAGTGTATAACTCATTAGAATTACACCATGCATCCATCACTGTTATTTCCAAATATTTTTCATCACCCCAAACAGAAATGCTTATACACTAACTCTCCATTCTTTCCGACCTTGGTAATCTCTTTGCTAATTTGCCTAGGTATTTATGTGGAAGCCCATAGTATTAGTCACGTATACGTACGTTGCATTTTGTTTACCCATCTGTGGGACGCATGGTTTCCCCTTTGGCTATTGTGAAAAATGTTATAATAAACATTGGCATGCAAATCTCTGAGTTAAGGAATGTTAATTACTGGGTCACATGGCAATTCCATGGTTGGCTTTTTAGGAGCTGCCTAATTTTCCCATAGAAGGTGTATCAACCATGTAGCACCAACAATGTATAGGGTTCCAATTCTCCACATTCTCATCCAAATGAGGGTGGCTGCCTGGCACAGACTGAAAACAGACAATCCAAGAATAATAGAAGAGAGACGTTATCAATTAGGAATGTGTCTAACAACACTCAAGATATCAAAACTATTAACATGGAGTTTGTTTCCTTTTAACTCAAGTGTTTCCTATTGAGGGAAACTTAAGATGTGGGCCTTTTCCAGGTTGGAAATATTTAAGCTTCCTCCTGATTATAGGAGATGCAGAACCACAGACAGGATCAATAGGCAAAAAGCTCTTTCTTCAGTGTTTGCCAAGTGTTTTAACCCCCCATTTTTGGGCTCATTACTCACCCTCAGACTTTTCATTCCCATTCTTGTTTAATATTAAACATTAACTATAGTTAAATAGGTTTTTTTGTTACTCATTTTAACTACATGAGAAGTTACTTAGTGAAAAGCTAATGCTTTCTTCTGGGAAAAAAAAGGCCTGCAGTGACACATTGGAAATGCTTTGTAATCAGTATATTAAGGACACATTCATACATTTCAAGAATTGCTTAAATTCTGATACCAGATTTAAGCTTGTGAACATGACTTTTAAACATACAATTAAAGCTATTCATCATAATTTGCTATACTACCAACATTGAATTACAGTTACTTTGGAGCATAAGTTAAATGGTTTAAAGTAAGCCTGTAACACCTAAAAAACACCTTTCTATCTCATACATGCAAAATACTCCTCCATGTAAAGGTCTCATCACTCTAAGTTAGCCTGCTCCAGTAGTCACTACTCAGGCTTATCGTGGTCCAAAAAAAAAAAATGTAACCAAGGACTGATATATTTTTAAAAAAGATGGCACAGCAGAAGGGAATACAATTCTACAAGTGCAAGCCCTCAAGCAGCAGCTTATTATGATAAATCCCTTCTTTATAAAGGTATCATTATCTATTACTGATACCACAGGCTAAATTATGTAGCATGCCATCTTCAAGTAACAGTTGAGGCAATAGAATAAATGCAGAAGCATCACAATAAATCCCATTTAACGCAACTATACAGACTAACACTTGTCTACAAATTTTTTGTCTGATTGCCAGTTAAATACAGTTTTAACTTCATAGCTTAACAATTAAGGGTCATACACTGAAGTCAATACATATACCTAGCATTTCAGTCTAAACTATTCCATGTACATAGCTGAAATTACAAAGTATGGCCTAACAAATGCTAGGGGGAAGTTTTTTTAACGTAGTTTTTACAGGTATTAAACTTATCTTGCACACTGAAGTCATCATACATACTGGGCAAAGTCAGAGCTTTTATATTTGAGTTTATTCTTCATTTAACTTTTAAAACACTACTATAATTGAATATTAAAACAAAAACAATAGCAAGTAGTGAGCATATTATAGTCCTTCACTCATTCACTACAGCATATAAAATGCCAGCAGTGTTATTCACTGGCCCCATTAAGAGGTCTGACACTGAACACCACCCCTAGGATGATGTTCATCATCCTCATATGCTTCTCCATTGTAATGGCGCCGTCTTTCTTGATTTGGATCAAAGTCCACCAGTTCTACCTGGTCCATTTCATCAGTCTCTTCTACTTCCTTCCTTTCAGGTAAGAGTTTTTCAAGCAAAGAGAGTTTATCAGGAGAGAGAAAACCATTCTCAGGAAAGTTTACCTATAAAAAGAAATTTCTACTTTAAGTTCAATTTGATTTACTTCATCATTAGCTCCTTAAATTACTGTTAACCCATTTTCCCTAGAAAGACGCATGTAATTATACAATCTTTCACTGAATTTGCCAAACCCAAGTTAGAACGCATGTTCTAAAAGGCACAGCCATCTAAAACTCTGAACCAGAGATTCAGGACACAAGTAAGGTCTTTTTAAAAAATGATGCTACTAAAACTGCACTTTAACAATCATTGTTCCATTCAGCAAATATTTTATACGAAAACCCTTGCTAAGACATTCTAATCCCTTTTAACACATTAATGTAAACAAAGTTATTCTTACTAAAAAGATAGTCCTCCTTTACCCAAAGATGTTTTTAATGTTATTTGTGGGTAAGAGGCCAATGTGATTGAGAAAAATGCTTGAGTTGCTTTATGAACCATCTTATTAACAAATCAAGGACTGTAGTATTTTGCCCCAAATTCGTAAGTTATTTTAAGTCCTTTGGTTGAACTTTAAAATCCTACATATAGCCTTTCATTAATAAAATACCTGCTTGCTATGCACCCCTTCTCCACCAATCTTTAATAGCCTAATAAGAAAGCAAACAAACCTAATCCCAACTTATTAACAAAGAATGCTCAACATGACAATAGTATTAGATCAGTTTGTTTCTGACAAGGGTGAATATAAATTTGTTTTTTGCCATTAAGAAAATGTATTTCTAATTATCAGATTTTACTAAGCTAATCATTCTCAAGGAGTCCTACAGTACTTTATAGCTTACCTTGAATTCGATGATTAGGCGACCCTTTTCATATGGTCTACGATAAATTGGCATGCCTTCATTTAGCACACATTTGATATCTCCATGTTTGACGATCTGACCTAAAAACATTGAAGCCAAGTTTTTCCTTAAATATAGTCACATTTTTTTATGAGGCAGACAAAAAAAAAATGGAGAAATGACCTAATTCATTGACACGAGTAAATTTATGTGAGCAATCCCGTTACTTTTCATTTATGAATTTTCTAGAGGCTTTCAAAAGAGCCAAGACTATATGATTTCAGCTAAGCTCACAAGAAGAGTATGTAATTAAGCAAGTAAAATCCCAATTTTCTCAGTGCCTATATTATCGGCAGACCATGAGAATACTAGAATAGAAAGAGAAGATCATCTAGTTACCATACCTGGATGAGAGGTGATGACTATGGTTCGGTTGTCAAGAGTAGATATTGGCTTTTGGAAGCCACATAATGCTTCAACCAGCTGTATGTCCATACACATGAAAAGGTCTTCTCCTCGTCTGTATCAATATGAATATGGCGCATGCTCAGATCTTTCAAATCATCACTAATACAAGTACCACAACAGCAGCAAGGTATCTTTCACAAAGATGCCCTTTCTCCCCCACTCTAAAAACAGATTTGAGAACTGAGAATAACAAATATATGGAACTCCGCAGCACCAATTCCTGGACAAGGCTTCAGAATCCCTCCATGTACTTTACCACTTAGGCAGTCTCTACCACCTATCATCCTGAATTGTTTCATTACCTAATTTTAAATCTAGTTTCTGACATAGAGGGAGAGAAAATTCTCACAGGAGTGAGTATAAAAGCAAGCAAACATACCTAGGTTCAGGGTTATTTAGGCTCTATGCAATTAAATAAGCGTATGGCCAATTTCGAGCAATACAAAGATTTTATTGATGTATACGAATTAAATAAAGTGCCTGGTACATTATGAACACCACCTTTTATATTTAGTAATAGCTCATTTCCTCCTCCTTGTGCTTAGACATTCTTATTTTCCCTATTAGCATCTTTAATAGGCAAAATACTCTCCAGAAAAATTGATAGCCTAAAAATCTGGAGCTTGATACCATTTCCCACTACTGTTGAGACACTTGCACAATGTCCTATTATAATTAATTAAAAACCAGTTTCTTCAGATGTCATTTCCAGCATACACTGTTAACCATCAGTCCTTCCTTTCCTTCACTCTAAGTTCGTTATAAATACAAATTTAAACATTTCCTAGTAATAGGACTGAAATTTACACACCATTTCGGTTTTTAGTAGAGATAGTTTTAGACACTTCTTTACAATTAAAAGCAACCCAAGTTACTACAAACTCAGGTTTGAAACTGGTGAGAGCTTTAGGGCAAAATTTTGTCTAGGTAAGTTTCCCCTAATCCATCTGTTTATACTCATATAAAACATCTAATTGAAGTATACCCTTCAAATTCCAGATTACTTACCAATCTACATAAATTTAGACAAGCTAAAATCTGAATTTTAGTCTAAAATAAAAATTTTAATGAACAGCCTTTTAGAAAAGACATTATACATAACCTAATTCTTCCTCTATACTTTTCTATTTATAAGAAATATGTTCTAAGAATAATGTAAAAGTTACTTAATTTTTTAAAAATACCCCAAATATGCAAGATATCAGGTTTGAGTATTTGATTAAATTTTTACCGAGTAAAAACAGCATGGTCCTTCTGATCTAAAACAATGATAATATCTCCGGGCTCCAGTCCTGGTTCTTGGTCTCCTTCACCATGGAATGTTATCTTCTGGCCATCTTTCATGCCTGAAAACAAAAGGTTAATACTCTTATTTATCATCTAAATAAGGTCAGATTCTCAGTCTATTAAGAAACACAGGTGCATATATTTGTATGCATAGAAAAATGCTGAAGTTTACAGAGATGATTAAGAATGCCTATATGATTAGATCAATCCAATTTCTTACTGAAGAAAACTATAATAGTGAAGAACACAAACTCTAGAGGCAAACAAATCAGGCCTCAATTCTCAGAGCTGCTATTTACTACTAGCTGGACTACCCTAGGGAAGCAAGTAGCCGAACTTTCCTAAACACCAACCTTCCTATAGAGACCCACCCTCATGAGGCCTGTTGTGAGGATTATAAAAAAAAGGTCTATGCTGGCACCAAATCAGTGACTGGAACACATTATAACCATAAACATTATTTCATCACTTAACCTACATCAAATTATTTCTATTAAGTCTAACAGGGGCATATATCAAGACATTCTTCTATGGTATTAGCAATATTTACACATAGAAAACATATATATACGGCCATCTAAACAATTAAAAACTCCATAACCTTTTTGAAGAATGATTATTTAGTCCCCTTAAAAAAAATAATCATGCTGGATACTCCCTTCAGCTCATGTGGTTAGCGCCAAAAGGGGAGAGAGGGAGAGAAGTATTTTTCAAGAGGGCAAAAATTTCTTAAAGGCTACTATATTTTACTGAGAGTCTCTCCTTCCTACCTCTGGCCCATTATTTAAGTTCAGTAAGGGTTTACTGAGACAATATCTCTTTAAACACAATTCATGTAATGTGTTTGCTGATCATTACACTCCAGTAGTTATTTCCTGATAATTTTCTGAACTGATGATCAGTGAGGTCACCCAACAAGAGCAACTTTTCATGTTTTGTTACAGAAAATATCGAATCTATATAAACATAGCCAATAGTACAATTCCTATATATCTATTAATCTAGGTATCAACTCATGACTAATATTTCACATATACTTTCACCTACATATGTGAAGCAAAACCCAGACATACCAATAAACTCACAAATACTTCAGTACGTAGCTCTAAAAATATAAGGACTTAAACCACAATACCAGTATCCTACACTGACAAAACTAAACAACCTGGCTTTAATCATTCATGGGGCAGCAATGTGGCTGTCTCGTTACACTAGTGAAACAAATGCATCTAAGTTTTGCTGGTTATTCCATTACTGTAGAGTATGGGTAAGTGCAGATTAATGGCTTCACTTACAATTAATGCCCTCCTAAGTACATACTGTTGGTAGCAACAGGGGAACATCTTACTGGAGGGGAAAAATTGAAACCTACTAAAACATAGACCAATTAAGAAAAAAAAAAAACACAAGGCAGTTATTATGATTCATATGGGAGAAAATTAATGCAGAGGCTTAAGCTATTTGAGATGTATATATTGAGATGTTCGTATTAACAGCTCCAAATTAGAATGCAAAGTATATAACTAGTTTCATTTTAAAAGTCAAGTCTCAAATTACCATGTTATTTAAGAATAGCAAATTAAGAATTTACTCTGAAGTAATATAAATTTGAAAAAAATCAATATTCATAATCTGAATTCCTACAAATCAACAAAACATTAGAAAAAGTTCAAGATAATATTAATTTTAATGAGCCCCCCCATTCACTTAAATCCCCTTTCTCCCAAATCCTTCAAAGTACACATATCCCTCAACTGAGCGAGTCTTAAGGAACTTAATGCGTGCAAAAAACTGCAAGAAAAAAAAGGTGGAGGAACTACTGATTTAATGAAAAAGGAGTCTGGAACACTATTCAATCGTTCACTGATGTCAGTATTCTATTTAGTAAGGCGATCCCAAATGTATTCCCTATAAATGCATAAAAATCTCTAGACGGAAAAAGATCATTTACTACATAGCTAAGATATCTTTGGGTGATAACATCACACACATCTAACCCTATTGACAACCATTTTGAACAATTATAAAATGTCATGTTAATAAATACTCAAGAATTTAGAAATGGCTGAGAACTTACCTTTGTCAATATGAACTTCTAGAATCTTCTTCTCTCGTACTATCTTTCTTCCATTGCAGCTTTTACATCTATCTTTAGGACTGATCCGTTCCCCATGGCCCTGGCACTCCATGCACACAGACTGAATTTGCTGAACCATTCCAGGTCCTATCTGATGAATTCTTATTTGCATCCCAGTACCTCGGCAATTGGGACAGCACTCTACTGCTCCTTTCTTACCACCTCGGCCTAATAGTTTAAAAAAATATTAAATTATGTTTGCTTTGTGTTGGATACAATAATGAATGTTTTAACAAGATAGTTCCTAAACACTACACTTTATTAATATTTGCAAGGTGTGATGGAATGCTACCCTAAGACCTATAATTTAGCCCTTTTGACAAAAAAAAATATAGCTGTAATCAGCTTCAGTTATCTATAAACATAAAGTTTCCAAGGAGCCATTTCAGAATTTTGAAATTTATACACATGCTCCCAAAGCACAATTCATAGGACATACTTTACCTGTTAGATGTGAACATTTTAGTTTTTTTTAGAAGGTACTGTATATTCAACAAATAACTTGTTCTTATAAAAAGCTTAGAGATTCACAGCTAACTTGTCCCTAAACAACTGAGAGTCCAAAAAGAGGGCACTGTTTAAATATCGGACAATGAAGCCACTGAAATGATTTTTAGAGAAAACGTGTTTGTCTCTGACCAATGTTGAGGCAAAAAAAAATGACACCAAATTATATTGATCCAAACTACATTTAAAATATCCACATAAAAAAGTGCTGATATTTTACCAGTATTTCTCTAGGTGGTACGTTTAGATGGTTTTCTTTATACCAGCATTCTCTTAAGATTTAGGTGTTATGTTATTTGCCAGCTTTGTATCTCCGGAAAGGCTTCAATTCCATTTTAAGTTATACTGAAGATGTTAAAAGACCATACCTTCACATTTGTCACAAATCACATTCTTTTGCAGAGCTAGTTTTCTTGTTGCACCATTATATAAATCTTCTAAGGTTACTGAGAGTTGATGCACAACATTTTTACCTAGAACAAAATATTGCTCATTAAAAATCTAAGATGCTGCATTTTGTGTTCAATGCACTATAAAATGGTAAAGGATAATGAAAGATGAAGCTCACAGCGTATACTGCTGAGTACCTATTATATACCTAGAATGTTAGCCATGTTATCAACACATGATCATCAAACTGTAACATAATTTCAGATGAAGAAAATTAGGTGAGATTAAGTAATTTATCTAATAATGTAGTTCTGGCCATCTTACAAACTATGGCAATCAAAAATATTAACTGCAAAATCACTTGAAAACCAATGTTATTTAAACAGACACATTTCACAATAATTACTCTAACTGCATCTCTTTTCTTTCACTTACTATGATATTAAGCAACATGGCCTATTACTTCATCCAAAAATTCTCCAGCATACTGTTCCAGCTAATCAAGATTGGCCAGGAAAGCTGATGTACAATATCAATTCCTATTTCTTCCTGAAGCAGGAACAGTACATTTATTGCTTGGCCAGCACTAGTTTAAAAGCTAGATTTTTCATATCCTTTATCATAGTGCTGTCCAAAATAACTTTCTAAAGTGGTGGAAATATTTTATATCTGTGCTACCTATCCAACACAATAACTACTAGTCACATGTAGCTTTTGAGCACATATGCCTCTTGCAGTTAAGGAACTGAATTTTTGTCTTTGTTTTATCACCTAAATTTAACATGGCCAATGGCTACAAAAGACTGTCATATCTCAGAATGGAAAGTAAAAAGTGAAGATCACATGAGGACACTGAGGCTGCAGAAATGAAGTCACCTGCCAATGGTTATTAAGTTCCTAGCTAGTGATTCTTCCATGAGGACTTTATCCACCACAAAACAGTACTACCTTATGCCAAAGTGCAAAAAGTCCTCAAACTCCTATATGCAGAACATGTTTGCTAGGAACATTTTTAGTTTCCAATAAAGTGTGACATATCATTAATTATATCTCTTCTGCTCCTAGCTCTACCTGTGGGTTCTGTTATCACAATACAGTCCCATGTAGTTGTTTCCAGCATGCTGAAAGCTGCCCTTCTTACTTTAGCTTTATCGAGCTGGGAGTATAGGGAAGGAAAAAAAAAGTCTTTGTTTAATTAGGCAAGTATTTTCTGTTACCACACACAAAAACTGACCTTTCATTGAGCTAAATTACATAGAAGAGTTTGCTAATCAATTCACTATTCAAAAATAAATTAAAAAATAAACTATACTTTTCTGTGGGACAAACCATACTAGGCAATTGATTTTGATTGCAAACTGTCTTGAGGTAAATTTCTTAAAAATAAAAACATCTTTGGAGAAAAAAGTAAATTTACAATTTTCAGTCTTTCTGAACTTTAAAAAGCTCAAAGTGAAATTTAATGGTTTGCCTATTCCTTATTTGATGGGCTCTGCCCATCAGCCCTTGTTTGTGTAAACTACAGTGGGAACAAAGTGAAATTGAATGGAACACTGTATTCCTGTAAAGAATAGTTCTACAGCCAGGCAATGACAGTTCTGATATTAAGGGCACGTATTTTGATACAACAAAGCTGAAGGAAAATTAAACAGATTGCACGTTATTTAGACATAATCCTATATTCCAATCCTGACTCTACCAATGCCTTGCTTCATATAACCACGAGGAAAGTTTAGGTTTCTGAACTTTAACTCACTTCCAACCGAATAAGGCCTCAGTACCTCCCACTAGGTGGTGGTGGTGGGTGTCAAGTAAAATTTGTTCTGTATGCAAAAAAGGCTTTGAAAATTATGTTTCTATACTTTTTCCTTTAATGCTTGATAACCTTATTGAAGTGTGGTATGTACCTAAGAGCTATGGAAGGACTCACGTGTTAACACTGGATTGGTTTAGCTAATTTTAGTGATATCAAATCTCGTTTAAAAAGAACTATACCATAAATCAAAATGGCAGTTTCCAGTTTGCAACATTATACCAACATGTAAATCAACACTTAAAACAGGTGACTTCTCAAGAATTTGCTCTGACCAAGGGCTACTCTGAAGTGCTACATGTGGACCAGATTATTCTTACCTCTTCTTTCTCTCTGCATTCTTCCTCCTCCTCCAAAAAACATATCAAAGATGTCCATGGGGGAGCCAAAACCACCACCTGCTCCACCTTCTTTAATCGCCTGTTCTCCTCCTTTGTCATATAATTCTCTTTTCTTTGCATCAGAGAGCACTTCATAAGCTTGAGAAATCTGTTTAAACTGTTTGAGAAAAGGGAAATAAATCCTGCTTACAAAAAAGCATCACATAGCATAGCCACTACATTAGACATACTTAATTTCAGGTTGTAATGAACTATCATACATCTGATGAAATATTCAGCTATGTTTATGCGTATGAATACAAAACTTGCCTTCTCTCCTTCATTTGGATTCTTATCAGGGTGGTACTTCAAGGCCAACTTCCTGTAAGCCTTTTTCAATTCTTCCTGGGTGGCATTGGGTTTGACTCCCAAAACATCATAGTAAGTGGTTTCTTTCACCATTTTTGACAGCCTGAAATAAAATACAATTTTAGCCGACTTTCAACCGGTAGTTTCAATGAGTAAAATCAGAGTTAAGGCAAAGAAATCTATTATTTACCAAATCTGATAAGAACCCCGCCTTCCATAAACTTCACAGAGTAACAATTCTTTTGATAATTTAATTGTAAATTCTAACAAACTAAATAGAAGCTAATAACTACCAGGGAATAACTCAAAAGCCTCTTTCTATAACAGCTGGTTCCCACTCTCCCCCACGATAGCCTCCATACTAACGCGACTATTATCTGGATTTCTCCTGTTTCCCTTTCCCAGCAGTGACGGAAGTAATCAAAAGGAGCACTAACAGGTTCAGTCCATCGGTTACTACATTATCATTGTTTCTGGTAAATCCGATTGAGCCACACACTCTATAGAAAAAAAATAAACATCTGGGTACAAGGGAGGCAGGGAGTGGTTTGTGAAATTGATTAAGACCGCCAGCTTCCCTCCCCCTCAATCCTGAAGATGTTTCCCAATCACAGAACTCATAAGCTCCTCCACTTTGACCACCGAACCCCTCGCCCCCGCAAGCCAGGGTAGCTTACACGTCGTTGGGTTCCCTTCTGCACTTGACGCCGACCGTTACCGTTTCCTTTTCTCTCTCTCACCCAGAATCGAAGGGGTGGGAGAAGTCCAGCCCTCAACAAAGAGGAGGGGAGACCGGAGAAGCGAAACTGTAGCCTCCGCCCCGTTCCTCCCGCAGCCCCTCGCCCTTGGCTCCTTCTGCGCGTGCGCACAGAGTCGCCCACCCCCACCAGGGAGAGCGGGGGGAGGGGGCGCGCACGGAGGAAAAGCCTAAGGCGGCAGGTCCTTGGAGACCTCAGGGAGGTTGAGTAGTGGGCGAAGCTTCGTGAACGGTCTCGGGCCGGGGATAGTTTGTCAGGGTACCACACCAGCCCTCCAAAAAGGGAATCGTGGATCCTGGAACCAACAACCCTCCCGCCCACGCGGAGCCAACCGCCTCCGGACCGCGGCTCCATCTGGCTTCCCAGCGATGCCAATGGCGCCAGCCTTGGGTCGTGGGAAAGCACAAGAACTGAAACTCACCGGTGAGCAGGCCGAGGCCGGTGTGGGGGAGCGGGAAGGAGCGCGTCGCTGTGCGCAGCTCGGGCAGCGGCCGCTCCTCCGCCTCTCGCCCAGCGTTCTGGAAAGTTCCTCCCGGTGCGCTGCAGCCGTCTTTTGTAGCCGAGCCCAAGCGCGTCACCCGCCGGAAGTCCCGCCCCTCCCGCCGCTGCCACCGCCCGGCGGTTACCTGGGCAACCGCGCGGGGGAGCTCGGGCTGTGGTGGGCTGTGCTGAAGGGCCTTGTGGGGGTGGGCCTAAGCCCGGGTTTCTCGCGCTCCTGGAACTTTCTGGAGCCTCTTCCACTCGGTTGGCCGGAGAGTGAGCAAATCTCCGGCGGGAGCGGGGATAGCCCAGGAGCGCTGCAATTATGAGCTAACTCGGGGTTCCCAAATCAGTGGCGTGGCGGTCGCCGCCGCCTGCGAGGACTGCGAGGGCCCCGGAACAGGACCGCGGGGCGGGCGCTGTATGCGGAACGGGATACTTTCAGAACAAAGCCGTGCTCCACCTCCACTCCGCTGCCCCCTCATTTACCTCTTTCGGCGTCTCTTACCGGCTGGTTCTTTAACCCTGAGGTTCTGGGAACCCACTAATCAAGAAATGCTGAGCAAGATGGGCCTGGGCCCCAGAGCAGTCTCACAGGCCTTGGATCTTGCTCCTTTTCGCGCGCAGTCTATGGCCCCTTAATTCTACGTGCGAAGTTGGAAGAGCTCTTTGTGTAAGCCCAGGCTCTCGTACTCTCGTTATCTGCCTTGGGTCTTGCTGTCTCCTACACAGTGGGCTCAGGGCAGCGCTAAACAGGGAAACTTTTGCAATGCTTTTGTGCAAACAGGGCCGTGAACTTGTTTCTGGCCAGGCGTTCACCTGGTTTGGCTCTGTGAAGATAACAGAATTGCACAAAGAATGCTAACGTATTTTATTTGACTTTTTAAGGTCCCACCAGTCTGAACCTGCATCTACAGTCTGCAAAGTGAGTCCCTGGGCTTTCAAACGTTGGGAGGGGGTATATTGGAAAATGAAGTCAGTCTTAAGTAACACAATAAACGTAGAAATACTGTCTAGCTTCAAGAAAGCTGGAGATGAAAAGTTGCAAAAGCCCGGTTTACATCGCTTATATTTTTAGTGGGGAGACAGACAAATCGACGAACTATGAAGGAACCACGTGATACAGGTCCGCAGGGGGAAACTCGTATATTAATCTGATGAAACGGGGAAAACTTCCCTGGGAGAGTGGCAGTTGAGCTGAGTTTTAAAGAAGGGAGAAGAGCTTTCGCAACAAAGGACAAGGTACAAAGGCAAGCTAAGGTTAAGGTGTGAAAGAATATGAGGTTTTTATCAAATTTCAAGTAATTGGATATAGCCAGAGCTAAGTGGGCTGAAATGGCAGGAAGTGAGGCTTCAGGACGAGTTGGGGTACACCTCTTGGTAAATTTTGCTAAACTAGGGATTTTGAACTTGACCCTGGAGTCATGCCAATGTGTATCTCCTCACAGCCTTACCTCTTTTGATTAAATTGGGCACTCCAGTTGCACTGAGCTATCTGCAGTTTCCCAAATGCAATTTTTCACCTCCGTGCTTTTGCTCTGGTTGTCAAACACCCAGTTTTTCCAATCTTAGTTGTTACCTTTTCAAATATTACCTTTGGTATAAAGTTTTTAAACTAGTAGTTAAAAGTATGATACTGCAGGGCAGGATACTAGGGCTTGGTAATATAAAAATCAGGTAACTCATGGCCCTTGCCTTCAAGGAATTCACCACTAAAGAATGAATTGTGTGATAAATTCCCATACGAGAGGACAATTGGGGTGCTGAGTAGGGAAACCTTGCACCGTCTAAATGAGTATCCCAGGCTGAGAGAACAGCAAAACAATAATAAATATTGTACCTATGTTGTGTAGGCATTGTAGTCCTAAAGTCCCTACTTTGATGTAACAATTTTCTGAATCTAACACTGGTTAAGCATATGACAAGCATCAGAATAGTGTATATCCAAACACTTGAAGAGTTTCCATAATAAATGTTACCATGTCTAGTGTTTCTTAAATATAACCATGTTTAGTGTTTCTTTTTGCTGGCAGAACCCAGTTGAAATCCCCACAACTTTTAGATGGAAGAGATATATAAACACGATACCATCTTGAGGCTGTCAACATAAGGCTATTAAATGCGATACTGAAAATACTTTTAAAATTTGCAAGCTCATTGAGCATAATTCTTTATTAACAATAAAGAGCATAAAAAATTAACTAAGTAAAGGAAAACTATGTACTTTTTTGCTTGTATGTGCATAGAATAGTTCAGAAGGCTACCCCAAAACTTGTAATATGGTTGCTTGTGGGGAGATGTGGGTGCTGGGCAAAGGCCAATGGGAGGGAGACATTTCGCAAAATACTCTTGTAACTTTGGAAATACCCATTTTACTGTAGTACTTATTTAAAAATTAAATTATATATACTCCATTTGACACTTTTTTCTTTATAGAAATTTATCTCAGTGGTGCTGAAAATAGGTCCTGATGAATATTCTAGTTTTTCATAATAGAAGTTAACACTTTTAAGAAGCATTTTTATTTACATAAAATACAAGCACTTTACCAATAATTTAGTATGTGACCTTTTTTGTAAAGAAATGGAATCATATAATGCTATTTGCCACTTACTGTTTTCACTGAATTTACTGTCATCACGTTAGGATAAATAAATCTACCTTGTTATTTTTAATGACTTCGTAGTATATAGGATGCAGGCACTATATTTTCCATTCCCCTATTGATGAACACGTTGGCAATTTCTAATGTTTTACAAACAATGCTAAATATTGTTGAGAAATCCTCAAATACAGCTTTGGGCACTCATGCAAGTATTTCTGTAAGATGGACATCTAGAATTGAAATTTTTAGGTGAATGCAGTTTTAAAATTGTAATAAATAAATTTACATTTTACTCCCAGCAGTGTTTCAGTGGGCCTTGCCCATATGGGGGATTCTGTCTTTTTTCTTTTTTTTTTAAGTCTTTGCTAACCATAGAGATAAAAGACATTTTAATGCCTGGGAGGCTTAGTTCCCCTCAATGCTCCTCCTTTTTACAATTTTCCTGGCATTTTCTAGTGTGTTTATTCTTCCAGATGAATGTAGGAATATTTCTGGTAGATTCCCCCAATCCCACTGTGATTTTGATTGTGATTACAATGCTTTTATATATCAGTTTGGGGAAAATTAAAATGTTTATGATGTTGAACCTTCCTTTTTTTCAATGGTGTGCTTGGTTAACTTTCAGTAACCTGTGACCAGATCACATGACCATGCAGGGAGCTGGAGATGGCTGAAAGCATGGCAGCAGCCAAGTCATAAGAACTCAAGCACTATGTTATTCGAATTTTATCTTGAAAGCTCTTGAAAAATACTGGAAGATTTTAAGGATGGGGTGATATAACCTCTAACAACTGACTTTTTTTTTCTTTGAGCACCTGTCAGGCACTGTGCTAAACTCTACAAATGTCATTTTAAAATCCTCATAGCAACTCTGTTTCACAGCTGATTTGAATATATTTACTTTTTAGAACTGTCATTTAGGTGCTAATGTGAAGGGTGGATTCTTGCAAGCTCTTATGGTGAAAAATGGGACTAGTAAGTGATAAGGCCTAAATAGAAATGGAGAGGGAGGGAAATATAAAGGCGGAATCTGCAGGTCATGGTGACTGGATGCAGAAGTGAGGGAGAAGTCATAACTAACATCCCACTTTCTGGCCTGAGCAATAGGATGGTTGGAGATACCCTTCCTGAGATGCGGAGCCCAGAAAGAGGAGGAAGAGGAGGCTGTGGTGGGGGCAGAATTGGGGAAGGTGGAAGTTAGTCCAGTTTTAGATGTGTAAAATTACCTTTTTTCTTTGAAAAGGAGAGAAACGTTTTATTGGAAAGCACAAAATGGAAAGTAAATCGTGGCTAAAATGCTATTTTCATGCTTGTATAAATTAAATTTTTTGCAACATTTAGATTTTAATTGACTGTGGGGCCTATTGGGGCAGGAATTTTTTTTGTATCACCGATTTGTTCTGGTTCTCTTGTGACTAAACATGGTTTCAGTCTTATTTATGAGCTGTTCTCTTGCCTTGCAACCCCCACCCCCCAATTGTTATTTTTTAAATAAACTTAATTTTAGAATAGTTTTAGATTTACAGAAACATTACAGGGATAGTATAGGGAGTTTCTGTATATCTGGCACTCAGTTTTCCCTGTTGTCAACATCTTACGTTAAAATCATGCAGTTGTCACAACTAATGAACCATTGTTGGTTCATTATTATTATTAGTGAAAATCCATTCTTTATTTGAATTTCCTTAGTTTTTAATTAACGTCCCTTTTCTGTTCGAGGACCCCATCCAGGATATTGCATTACTTTAAGTCGTCATGTCTCCAGGGCTCCTTTTGACTGTGACAGTTTCTTAGATTTTCCTTATTTTTGATAACCTTGACAGTTTTCAGAAGTACTGGCCAGGTAGACCGTCCTTCAATTTGGGTTTGTCTAATGTTTCTCTCATAGCAAAGTTCTAGTTTCATCAAATCATATCCAGAATACATACTATGAACATGACTTTTCACCGTTGATGTTGACCTTGATCACCTGGCTGAGGTAATGTTTGTCAGATTTCTTCATTGTGAAGTTACTTCTCCTTTTCTATACTGTACCCTTTAGAAGGAAGTCTTATTCATTTTTATGTTATTGGTATGAAGGCATGGTCTAGTGCAGAGTAGTGTTTGTTGAACTGAATTGTGTCCGTTTTATTTTGTAAGTCTCAACAAATGTTCTGCCAGATAATTTTCTCTATCAATAGAAAAATAAAAAATTAGGATATTTGAATAATTTGTCCAAAGTCACACAGTATGTGGTCAAATTGGAATTTGAACCCAGTCTTTCTGAATGTAAAGCATGTGGTCTCCCATATTATCTGGCCTTACAGAGGATTGTATTTACTTTGGCCACCTTCCCTAAGTATTTGTAATGCAAAAATGTCCTTAAATAATGGGTTAGATCCTTCATAGAAATTTAATTCCTTAATAATTCATCTTTTTTGAAGTTATGCTTTAGAAGTCTTAGCCTCGAATTGGGGAGACCTCTGTGCCCTATATTGCTTGATCCAATTTTAATGGAATATCTTTTAATTCCCTATAGAATTTTGAAGGGTAGATTACAGCAGGGCCTTACTGGGAAAATTGGTACCAGTTAGGATGCTATTACAGTAGTATAGGACTGGCTATGTAATTTGTGAGACAGTGCATAATGAAAATATAGGGCCCCTTGTTTGAAAATTATTGAGAATTTCAAGACATTGACAGCAGAGCATTAAACCAGGCATGGGGCCCTTCTAAGCATGAGATCCTGTGTGACTGCACAGGTCACAAGTCCATGAACTTGGTCCAGCAGTAGTAGAAGTAGTAGGAAAAGAGAGCCAATATTAAAGAAGTGGAAGTGGTAATGGAGACTAGAGGGTAGTAACAATATAGTAAAGAGGTAAACCTGAGGAATTGTTGGATTGATTAGATGTGGTAGGTGAGTGGGCAGACAAAATATGGAATATAAAGTTTCTGATTGGGTAAGGCTGTAGACTGACACAGGAAATCAAAGAGGACCAGATTGGCCTTCAGGGGAAAACGAGTTCAGTTTTAAACGTATTCACATCCAGTTGTAGATATTTAGGAAGCGCTTGGGTATATAAGTATCCACAGAAAAAGCTGTGGCACTCACTCCCACCTGATAGTACTACTTACTTATCTCTGAGGTTGAAGACCAAGATGGAGGGTAGTAATTGATTGGAGACTTTAACCTTTTAAAGTATTCATATATTTCTTGTATAATTGAGAAATAGTTTTATTTATGAAAGTGAAGTCGCAAAGTGTTACTGTATTTGTAAGAGAAATAGAGTCAATCTGAAACTAAAAGTTTCAAAAAGTTTATAGTAAAGGAATTTATGGTAGTAATAGATTTGCAGCCACATTTTCTCTTACCAGTACCATAGTACATGCAATTTAAAATAGGCTTTTAGTTTACTGTTGACTTTTTTTGAGCACCCACAATCTCTTGGTTGCTCTACAGGGTGTATAACTTTAAAAACCTACATTAAACTTTACTTTTATCTCATATCTATGTTTTTTGATAACTGGCATGTGAGCATTTTCATATTTTATTTTGTAATTCTCCTTTCTATTACTTGTGTATTTTCTCTTGGGGGAGGTTGTAGGGCAGTAAGGAAATCCTGAAGATGGAAGTCAGAAGCTCAGGTTTAATTCTGCCTTTGCCTCCTATTGGCTGTGTGTTCTTGGGAAAATTACCCAGTTTCTGTAAGCATGGTTTCCTTATTGGTAAAATGGAGATGAAATTAACCTTATTAGGGAAGCGAGAATTAAATGAGACGATAAGTGGAAGTTCTTTGTAAACTCTAAATTTTAAAAATTCATACCTTTTAACTCTGCACCCAGGGCCCTTAGTGAGCCTCCCACCTCCTCCCCAGATTCATCTCCAACAGCCAACCTTCTCAAACTTTTTTTTTGCCGTGCCTAGACATCCCTTATACATCCCGACTCCTTCATTTTGCTTTGATTTATTTATTTAATCAACAAAGGTTTGTTGAGCACCTTGCCTCCCTCAGGTCTTTGTTTAAATATCATCTCAGTGAGACCTACAATATCTACTCTATTCCGAGTTGTAATCTGCTGCTCCTCAGCACTCCCAGTCCCCCTTAACCTGCTCTACTTTTTCTTTTTTCCATTGCACTTATGACATAACACAATATTTACTTATTGTCTCTTCTCTTCACACCCCTTCCCAAAATTTAAATATCATTTGGGCAGGGATCTTTGTTTTATGATATATCCCAGGCATCTAGAACAGAGCCTGGTACACAGCAGGTAACTCAATCAGAGGTATTTATTGAGTGAATGAATGAATGAATGAATGACTATGCATTGTGCCAGACTTTTAGCTGGTCTTTGGGTATATAGTTGTGAAAAAGAAGAGCTGGTTGCTGCCCTCACTGACTATCCAGCCTGGCATTATAGTCTGGTGGTTTTTTTTGCCTGCCGGGGCTGCCTTCCTCTGAGACATGTCAATGACTAATGGCTGAGTTCAGAGTAGCCTTTCCTCTTAGCAGTGAACAATTTTCAGATAATTTTGCTTTTAAGCTTTAAGAAAAATTCTAATAGAAGGGCAGGGAGAGAGTAATGTGTTCTATTTAGTTGCTCTAAAAGTCAACAATTTTCCCTAATGTGAGGACAGAATGAAAGTATTTTCTTTAAAGTGCCCGGCCTTGTAGATAGCTGAAAGAGGTCATGGGAGTATGTCTGATTTAATTATCTCCTTCCTTCCTTCCCTTCCTTCCTTCCTTCTTCCTGAAGGAAAATGGTTGTAATTTTCCATACTATTGAAAATTGAGAGGACATGCAGTAAACATTTATTGCTGTCTTTTGGTATGCTTTATCTGAGTAGAATGCTTTATCCATGAAATCCTAACCTATTTCTTGAGGTCTCTGTATGTAGTTTGTCATATGAGTTTTTATATTGCTAGAACTCTTACTTAAGAGGGAAAAAAACTTAAATTGAGTACTTAAAAGGTAATCTACTGATCCAGCACATTGAAAACAGTATGTCAGCAGCTATTCTTTCTTTCACCCTGTTCTTATACAGGCAACTACACTATCCAGGGAAACTCTAGGGCTGGGGATAAACCTACAAGACAGAATGAATTAAGGAAGAATACTGCTGCACAGGTATGCAAATGAAGTAAATGATTTTTAATATCCCTGCCAAATCCGAGACTCTTGATCTAGATAATTTAAATTCTTAAATGCCGTTTGTCTTTATTTATTTGAGAAATCCAGTTGAGAACATTTTGTGTGTATATATTTTCTAGATTATTATTATTTTAAATCTTGACCTCATTTTGCTATCAAATATCTCCTAACGAGTTTGATATTCCATCTGAATTTCCTTCTCTGCACACAAATTCTGATGTAGATATGAATTGTTTTGCTTCATGATCTTTTTGTCAGGAAAAAATTGATGTAAGGAAACTGGTGATAGTAGCCTTAACTTGTCATAAACAATTTCTAAGGTGTAATCCCATAAATTGTGATATGACATAAAAATCTATTCTGCAGGACTTTTTTTTAGCATCTTCTTGCACTTAGTGACAACTCAGTTTTGTTTAACAATTGTTGCATTGTGAATGAACTCTAAAACATCCTCAATAAAACAAAACAAAACAAAAGAAAAATTCAGCTCAAACGACCCCCTCTGCAAGGTCTTCTCTAATGCTCTTGACTGATTTATAAGCCCTCTGTGTGCTCACATCACCCTGTGGACACATCTCTATCATAGTATTTATGTAAATATATATGTAAATTATAAACATTGATGCTGTCTTCTTCCAGAAAGAGTTCATAGCCATTTCCATAGATACAGGAAAAACCTAAAAACAAAAAAACTCACACCAAGATGCCATACATTAAAAGTGAAGAGAATAAAGAAGTAAAAACATGGGTAGAGACAAAATAGAGCCAGGGATAAAGCTGAAAATGAATATAGGATGACCTTCACATTTGCTACAGCTGGGCCATGAATCTGTCTCTAAGTGGACAGCCTCATTGGTCCCACAATTTATGGTGTCCATAGATAAAAAAACAAACCCGTTACTCTGGAGAAGTAAAACTATTCCTGGAACTGAGATCAGATTGGACTGTCTCCCAGGGACGCTCATAAAGAGAACATTGTGTTATATGAGCAGCAGTGTTTTTGACAGCATCCCTGACAGGGTGACCATTTCACAAGGATGCCTCTTACAGCCTGATGGGAGCACACCAAAAAGCTATTCAGTGGGTTAAAATAATGCTTCTGAGGTGGAGGACTGTCTCACTGGTGATGGCTTCCCAATGTTTTATCTCTTTCACCTAGTACAGTTATTGGCATATAGTAAGTATCAAAAAGTATTTTTTGGGTGAATGTAATGGAGAAGACTGAGTTCAAAGACTCCATCTAGAAAGGTTCGCCCTGATTACCAACACCTAAAATCCTATTCCCCAACTCTGTATCCCTTTTGTAGTTATCAAGCAATATAGTCACGAAATATTTCTTCTACTGTTGAGTTAAACTGCCATTTCAATATTTTAATGAATGTTAAATTTCTCATGTCTTCTCCAGATATGGGAGTGAGGCCAGGGGCATTTGTATGTGTGTGCCACACTTTTCGTTGTTGTTGGTGCTGGTGTTGGGTCAAGTAAGTACTGTACTCATCAAACTGGGAGGCCAGTTTGCAGGGCACCTTGAGAGTACTGTTGACTTCGATCAGGCTTCCACATCCAGGCTGTCCTTCAGAGCAGAGGCAGGGCTGGTGACGGGCCTTTTGCCATGGGTCTCTGTGCTGAGCATCAGGAAGACCCAGTTATAGGTCATGATAGCACCGACATTTAAAGAGACTCAGGGCTGAACTAGAGGCTACAGACTCAGGGTTCTTTACAGTTCTGTAAGGGGTCTGGGGTTGAGTTGAGCTCATAGGTTGGGGTTCTGTCATTTTAGCTGGCAAAGTTAGAGGTTTGGGGGTAGGACCTGGTGTTTCTTCCTGGTCAGCATCAACACTTTTCAATCCTGTCATCTTCCTGTTGTCATTAACATTATAAAGGTGTTTCAGAGCAGGAACTTGGTCCCTATGTGCAGCTTTCTACCTGCATAGTCACAACGATGTCTTCATCATTATTAAGATATTCTTTGTCGTCTGGTGTGTAACCTTATCTTGTTATCACTTCAACAGCAATCACACTGCTAGACCAGGACAAGAAACTGGGAGAGGGAGTGCAGTGGTTAAGAATATGGATTTTGATTGACAGCCTGTGCAGATCCCATCCTGTCCGGGTTTGGGGTTGCTATCTGCCTCATAAAACAAAATAGAGGGTTTGTCTTCTCTGAAAAATTTTTGTACATTGTTGGCTTTGCATCTTGGCTTTGGCATCTTCCAGGAACAGAAGGACAGGGATTGAAGCCTTATGAGTTTGGGTTTTCAGTTAAGGTGGAGAGAGAAGATAGTGACTATAACCAGAAAATCAAGGGTGGAGAAATTTGTCAGTGTTAACCTAGCCTGGGCTTCATGATAATCATAGAAGTAGATTCCTTAATAATAATAAAGTAGTAATAACATAGTTAAAAAATATATATGAATTCTGGAAACTGACTCCCTAGGTTTAAATCCTGGCCCTGCAACAAGCAAGTTACTTATCCTTTCTGTACCTCATTTTCCTTATCTGTAAAAAGGGATAATAATAGTACCTAGCTCATATGGTTATTGTGAAGACTAAATGAGTTAATACATGTAAAGTGCTTAGAACAGTGTCTACATATAGTTACATTATATAAGTGTTTGCTGTAATAGTGGTCATAAAAATTACTATTCTGTTGAAACAGAGGAACTAATATAGCTAGTAAGTCAACACATTGTTGATTTACTAAAATACTGATTGAGTGCCTAATGTGTGCTAGGGTCTTTTCTAGATCTGTGAAACAGTGTTGACTGTGACAGACATAATCCCTTCCCTTATGGAGTTTACAGATGAATGGGGGCACAGACATTAAGTTAGCAATTATACAAATATATAAGGCAGCTCTCTTATTAGGAAAGTTGACCCTTGACCCAAAGTTCAGACATTTCAGTGTTAAGAATTCAGCATACAGTAGGAAAGGTGCCTTTTTTTTTTTTTTTTAAAGAAAAGGGAGTGTCCCAGTTATATGATGCTGTGTGAAAAACTGCCCCCAAAATTTGTGGCTTAAAGTAACTATAGTCATTTATTTGCTCAAAATTCTGTAATTAGGGCAAGGCTTAGCAGGAATAGCTCATCTTTGTTCCATGTGGTTGCCGCTGGGATAGCTCGACTATGGCTGGAGGGTCCTTCCAAGCTGGATCACTCACATGCTGTCTGTTGGCTGAGAGCTCAGCTGCAGATGTTGGCTGGGATCCCAGTTCTCCTTCATGTGAGCTCTTCACGTGGCTAAGTTGGGCTTCTCACAGCAGCTAGGTTCTGAAGAGGATCACCCGAAGGGGTAAGCACTTAAGTAAGGCTCTGCTCACATCATACTTGTTAATGTCCCATTGGCCAAAGCCAGTCCCTTGGCCAAGTACAGAGTCAGTGTGGGGATTCTGAGAGGTGAGAATCAATATGGTTTAGTAAAGTAGTAGACTACCACGGAGAGAAAGGCTAACTCTACATTGTCTAAATTTTTTTTTCTTTTTTTTCTCCTCAGTTGCACATGCCATATTCCCTATCTCTAAGACATGAAGGAGAAGTCACATAGGGGGGAAGCGAAGTTTCTTCTGTATCAAAAGCTTTTTGGAGAGTGGCTAAAAATTTTGTTAAAGGCCATATAATTTAGAGTGATATTATTCTATGTAAGTAGATGTTTTACTCTGGTTGAGAGTATATAAAGGAAGAAAGTAAATTTAATTAAATGGTGTTATTTTGACATGCAGAGCTGGAGCTTTGCTAGTGAAAGAATAACAAGGTAGGAGGGTCAAAGATTGTCTGAATAGTTTAAAAGTGTAGAAATACAAATTTGTTGTCAAGAGGAGGCAGACCATGATCAGGAAAGTGCCACTGGGCATCCAGTCTGAAATGTAATGAGACAGACATATGAGAGAAAGAGCAGCTAGGTCAGTATCTGAAGAAGAGTAGAATAACTCAAAGCTAAGTCTGTGGAAGGTGACTATATGCTGGAACTGCGCCCACCAGACTGGAAGTTCCTTGAAGGGAGGAGCTGTGTCTAGCTTGTTGACTTCAATATGTAGCTCACTGTCTAATACACAGGAGGCACTCTAAGTGGTTATTGAATGGATACAGATGTCAAGATTTGAAGAAACTGCAATTGTAAACCATCCCCTCTCTTTAAGATCCTGGCACTATAAAGTAGTTAGAATAATCTGTTTGAAAATACGTAGCTATGGGATGGTTGGAGGTGGCAGGGCTCAAAAAAAAAGTCATTCCTTTGATTAAATCCTTTGATGGTTTCCCATCTCACCTAGATGTCCACATGACTTTCTTCTTCCTTTAGGTCTGTGCTCAATAAAGGCCTTCCATAATACACAAAATATCCTCATCGCTTTCTATCCTGCTTTTTCTTTATGGCATTTATCCCCATGTAACCTGTATATGTCTTTGTTCGTAGCCTGCCTCTCCCTACTAGATTGTAAGCTCCTTGAAAGCAGGAACTTCATTTTGTTCACTGTGGTGGCTTCAGCACCAGCCAACAGAGAGCTAGAGCTTTTCTGAATTCATCTGCCTAGAGGCCGAGACACTGGAGAATTGTGGGATGCAGGTGTCCATGGGGACTCCTAGAGCCATGTCCCTCTTACCAGTGGGAAGAGCTGACAATGCAAAGAGCCCCGGTCCTCCTGTTCTAGGAGTTACTGCTAACTATCTATAATTGTGAGGTGGAGGACATGGATAGTACAGGATTCACGTGCTTTGGGAATGGTACCAAGGGCAGCCCCATCCATCCTTAAGTTAGCTAGAATAGTTTTCTAGCTTCCAATCCAAGAACCTTGACTGAGTAGATTCAAGAATATGAAAGAAAGCCCCTGTGTTTAAGTATGTGGATAGGCAGTGAGTGGTGGAAGCCCATGAAAGGATTTAAGCAGGGCAATGACATGGTCATATTTATGTTTTGAAATATTTTCTCGAGCTGCAGTGTGAATGGATTGGAGGGGACAAGAGTGAATTAGGGAGAAAAATGAAGAACATTCCAGAGAAAATAGCATGAACATCAAAGAATGCAGTAAGGTATTACAATTGGGCCAAGGCTTAGCAGGGAGTAGCTCATTTATCTCTACAATAGAGGAGAGAGTTGAAGGGTAAGAAGTTCAATATTTTGCTGGTACAAGGCTGGGAATGAAGAGATGGTGGGAGGTAAGGCAGAAAAAGTTAGAAAAGCTTCCTGTGACTTTCTTTTTAATATGTTTATAAGACATTTTAGGAGAGACCACCACAGCATTCGTGATTTACACAAATAAGTGCAGAATTGAAATAAAAGTTCTGACTTGAACCATCAATGGTATGAATGTCAGTATTTGGGATTACAGTGACTATTCTCTAAACCCTTAGAAATTTAGAAATCCATGTGAGAAGTTGACCAGTCCTGAAAGCAGGAGTTGAAAACAATAAAGTGTAAATTATAGGTGGAAGATTTTAAAGTAAATTGTAGGGTATAGTTAATGAATATATTAGCTTGTTTACACTATGATGTATAGAAGAGAACTTCTCTATTCGCGTTGCAAATTATAGGTGTGACTACCAAGAATGTGAAAAGATTATCATTAAAAAATTTTAATCAGAAATTATATATCTATTTCATCATGAAACCTAAAGTCAAAAAGGTAATATTCACAGAAACTCAAGTGTCTCACGAAAAATTTCAACATGTTATATTTGAATATTTAGCCAAAATCAATGTTAAATACTTTTTTATTTTTCTTATATAATTATAAAAAAAGTAATGATTTTTTTTACCAAGTTCCTCATAGACCTTAAGTTTACCCCAGTGTGCTCTGCAAATATGATTTAATCTTTGTGCCATGACATTAAAAAGTTGGGAAGCAGTAGGAGTTATTAACTTATCTAAAAAGAGAAGTAAAATGGTATCATTAGAAAATAGTCAGGAGGTGTGTTTAGGTTGGATTCCCCCAGAAGCAGACACTGAAGCAAGGATTTGAGTGCAAGTCATTTGTTTGGGAGATGATCCCAAGAAGTGCCATTTGAGGAGGGGAAGAGTGAGACAAGGGTTGGAAGGAAGCCAGTGTGCAGGTTACCACTCAAGGGAACTGGGGATTAGTCTTGCTGGAGAACCTCTGGGATACAGTAGAGTGTATACATGCTTTAAAGTTGTTTCACCGAGGGGTGAGAAAACCACTTTACCCATCCACTTTACATCATTTCATTACTGCTTCCAGAAGTGTAAAGCCTCTCACTTCTGGCCTGTATGCAGTCAGAGAAGGCCTTTGATACCAGAGGAAGCTTGCAGGCAGAGTTCTAGATGTTTGCAGTGAGAAGTTTTTCGATATGTAAAACATGCAACTAAATTTGTTGCTCACTAGGTTTTGGTCCTATTCCACAAAGTTACTTTTATTATTTTGTATCTGACCTAGGTCTGCCTACAGAGAAGAATATGTCTTGTGTTGTCTAGTCGATGCTGCCTCCAAAATATCTCTTGTCCAGGCTGCCAACATCCTTTGTACTAAAC